AGCAATAATAATACAAAAATTTGTCTTAATTCCTAACAACTAGTATTAGAATGTTAGATGGTAAAAATATGGCAAAGTGTGAAATACAATGTGAAAAAAAAATTGATGATATCAATTTATTTAGCACTTAAAAAGTGATTTTTAGTTCGATTCTTCTTGTGAGAGTATGATAATAATTTTTATGTTAAAGCTTAAGGAAAATCAAAATAATCTTGACACTCTGGGTTGTCTAATCCATGACTGTTCAATAAAAAAAATGATAAATAAAATTCCCAAATGAAAAGAATAAAGAAAAGAAAAAGTAAATAAATGACCAAGAATAAAGTTGGAATTGAAATAACAAACCCTATTGTAAAATTGAATTGAGTTTCTATGCAAAATAAAATTAATTGTTCACTAATTTTGGTTTTGAAATCAAATATTACATAATCAATATCAGAATTACTTCACATGACGTCAAGATTATACTTTATTTTTTTCTCGGCTACACATATTATAACTATAGTTCTTTTATTGTGCCAAAACTTTGTACTATTGTGCATGATCCAAATTTGACTTCTAGGGCATCATCAATAACCTCTGACTTGGCAATAAAAGAAATAAAACAAGTACACATGTGACTAATGCTTAGCCCAGTTTGATGGAGTGTGGATAATGCATTTTAAATAGTGTAAAATCCTTCTTGTCATAAACGAGCCCAATTTGATGAGATCGTATAATACTATGAACAAACGAGCCTGTTATGTTTTTGTACCTGACGAGGACATATATTATTTGGGCAATACTTTTGATCGATGATAATAGGGTTACCAACATTCCTCATGATGAGGTTTTTAAAGACAACATTCCTCATGACTTCAGCCTCACACCATTTTGTGTCTTCGTGAAAACAGAATTCGTCACAGTCACATTTTGGACTCTACCTTCATTGAAACTGTTTCCTAAGCTGCCAACACTTTGAGGTAAAATAGATAGAACTAATGATAAGGAGTAAATGAATCCACTTAATTAGTTTTGCAACAAGAGTCGTAGACTTAGTGATGTCAAAACAGGCTAGGCTGCCAGACTCGGGTTGTTACTGGACCGGACAATGACTGGTCGACCCATGAATGATGCCCGCCTATGTAAAGACCATCATAGAGTGCGACGGGTTTATGGGGCGAAGAGGTCATGCCCGATTGACTTCACTGTCTAGGCTCCTAGAATATTCTTGTTTACCCGATGCCATGTCCAGGGCCACATCCAATTTTCTCAATCCATACGTTCATGGAGCCTTGACCAAGTGATATGCAGTCATCTCCTGTTTTAATTATACTGTCTTTGATTGTCACACCCATTGAGTACTCGATATGAATGCCATCAGTGTTGGGGCTTCCACTTGGCGCAATTATTTTCAAATTTTGTATCTTCTCATTATTGCTACGGTTAATGGCAATGTTCATCATCTGACCATTATACGATGTCAAACCGCGAACCAGTACATTGTTGCACCACTGCAACGATATCGACTGCATTCA